GACCCATTGCTATTACGTCTCCTTTTTTGAAAACTATGGAGAAATTACTTTTACTTAGTCTTGTACCTTCGCTTAAATCCTTTAATGACCCTAAACAATTTGCCTATAAGCACAGTAGAAGCACTTTAGATGCAGCTGCCGTCTTATATCATAACATTGCTTCCAGTCTAGACAAGGGGGCTAAATTTGTTCGTTGCGCCTTCCTAGACTATACATCTGCATTCGACTCGGTCCCTAGGGACATCTTATTAAATAAACTTGCTGCTAGTCAAACAGAATGTTGGGCTGTTAACTGGTTGCATTCCTATTTCTCAGATAGAAAGCAGTACACCGTATATAAAGGGAAGTCCTCCACTTCATTGCCTACTGAAGCTGGTGTCCCTCAAGGTGCTGTTCTTTCTCCTTTTCTTTTTTCTTTCTTCTTGCACGACTTGCCTCACTCTGATGAAATAAACTTTGTGAAATATGCTGATGATTTAACGGTTTCAATGGCTGTTAACTCCCAGCTAGATTGTACTAAAATAAATAGCTTTCTATCGGAAGTCAGCAAATGGTCTGAGTCTAACGGTCTTAAACTGAATCCTTCTAAGTGTCAAACTGTTGATTTCAGCTTAAGATGTAAACGACAGTTAAAAGAAGTCATCGATTCTCATGACACTTGTAAAATTGACGACAATGATATTGGAATCAAATCAGAAATTAAGTATCTTGGACTCATTCTCTCTTCTGATCTCTCCTGGTCTTCCCATGTCTTAGCAATCTCCAGTAAAATATTCCGCTTGACATTTTACATTAAGAAGTTAAGACACTCGGGTATAACTCAACCCCTCATCCTACAGTTCGTAAACTCTTGCATCCTACCTATTCTTCTTTATTGTTCACCCTTATTCTTTCCTGGTTTGCTTAAAAAAGACTATGTCACAATTCGTAGAATACTGAAGACTGTCAGTAGGGTGAGTGGTGTCCCAGTGGACCACATAGTTAACGTCGTTGTCGATAGGCATTTGACTTCGTGCAATAAATTTGCTAAAGGGATTTTGTCTGACTTGGAGCATCCGCTTTACCTTCAGCTTTCACCTTGCATCTCCTCAGGTAGAACAAGGAGTAACTTCAGAAAACTGTATGCTCGCACGTCTAAGTATAAGAATTCTATGATACCATACTTGGCACGTATTTTATGTGATGAAAATAGTGTCAGGCAAGAATTAACTAACCTTTTTCATCTAGTAAATAAAAAATTTCCTCCATCCATCCTTATATACCTTCAAGTTTTACTTTTATTACTTCTATTATATTTATGGTCCTGTTACTTCTCTGTTTTACTCTCATAATTGCAAACACCAACTTATCTCCATGACGGCTGTAATCTTTGTTTTTTCCTTCACCATATCATGTAGAAAGAACATTATATTCAATATTTTTAAACATGTTAGGATTTCTATACCACATTGCCAATACTGTGTGACACAAGCCAACGGCAATTTTCACTTGTATTATTATTATTATTACCCTAGCTGTTATCATTATTATTGCTATTTCCATTTTATATGCTGCATGTTTTTGACACTACCTCTATTGTAAATGTGGGAATTTTTCTGTGTGATTAATTTTATTTATAATTTGAGGAAATTAGATGCAATATTGTGATTAATGCTGAAAATTCCAATCTGTATCACAAGTACTGTTTTTGGAATAAAGTAAATCATTATTATTATTATTATTGTAGTATGATAACAGTAGAAGGTCTATAATCATTCCCTCTGTAATAATGTACATTAGAAGTCGTGGACATCAGATGCTTTCTGAGAATTCGAGATTTGAATAGTTTTGCAGGACTTTCATGGGTACTTGTATGTTCTGCATTCAGCAGACGCAGTCTATGCATATGCAGCAATTCCTCAATTTTAATCAGTTGCTCTCTCATCTCATTCAGGTCTTTTCGTGTTTTCGACAGTTCACATTGTAACTCGGCTACCTCATTTTTGAAAACAGTTGACATTTGAGTTGCTGAACTTGTAGTGGAGGTTCTCATTGGATGAGATTGAGTATTTTGAAAAGTTGAAAGACACATTGACTCCATTTTGCTAGACAGCTTGGGAGAATTATAAGAATGTTGAGTAACATAAGTATTCGAACTTCTGCAAACAGTCTTGATGTCTCCAACTTTACCACATTTGTGACACTTAGCACCCCGAAAACGGCAAGTGCTTCGTAGATGTAACTTTCCACAGGATAAACACGGTTTAGTGTTTTTGATCTTTGGCTGCATTCTATTACTTGTGGATGACAGTTTGGATTGCTTTCCATGACCACTTGTATTTTCGACTTTGGACAGCATGACATCAGATACTGACGTAGTGGGTGCAGAGTATTCACTGTTGACATCCTCATATGTAATACATACCTCTTTAGCAGTTTGAAAGGTACAAGAAGGAATCTGAATTAACTCTTTCTCTAACTTAGGAATATTGATTCCAGCAATTAGACGATCACGTAGTTGAGTATGCAGCTGATCTCCGAAGTTACACTTTGAAGCTTGTATTTGGAGTTGAAGAATAAAGTCTCTTATCCTCTGGTTGGGAGCACGAAGCAGTTTGTTGAATTGAGCCCTCTGTATCGTCTCAAAAGTAGTTATATGAAAGTGGTGTATCAGAAGTTCACGGAGCTTACCATATGGCAGAAAAATTGGTTTACCTGGAAACGACAGTCTTCACTAGGCTATATGCATCTAGTCCAATAGCAGTAATAAAATGTGCTGGTATTTCGTCATCCCGAACATTCTTTGAAATGCACCACGCATCGAAGCATTCAAGATAATCAGCAATTTCCCGCGTTGAACCATTTATAGGAAATTTTCCCAGGTTATTTAGTTCCATCGCGACGCCAATTTGTTGTAATTATTTGTAGTCGTAGTATTAGTATTTCGACATGACCGAATTACAAGAATCCAACCAAAACACAGAGAGGGCGGAATTCAGGAATTTGTATTTGGCGGAATTATATTCAATTCATATATGAAATATATTAGCAATCAACAGTAAGTATTTAAACAATACAGAGATAGAAATAGTCAATCACCACACTCAGCTTATCAATGTACTAGCTAAGACGGAACATTTTCTTTCAGATTGACGGAATATGGGATGACTTATCAAGTGACGTCAGAGGATGAAACTATGTCAAGGTATTTTGTGTTAGACCCATTTTCTATTACACTCTCATCGATGCTAGAAGCATCATGTATGTGTATTTACCACTCGGTGTAGATCACGTTCATGTTTTAAGGAGAAGTCAGTAGTCTGGCATTTTGAGGGATTCAACGTGAGACCATTTAGCTTAGACTAATTACTGATATCCGACAAAAAGCCACTTTGTTTGCAGCTGTCTGATTGTGACTTGACAGGAAGCGAGACTACCAGATCATCAGCCTATTTGATGAAGTTGATTTCATTAGAAAGAGGTAAGTCATGTTAGAAGAAAGAAGTAAAAGAAAGAGGAGATAACAGCACTTTGAAGAATTCCAGTTTCAGTTAGCAAGGTAGAAGAAGATTTGCCCCTATACACAGTATGCTACATTCTATTTGAGAAAAAAGAATGCAGCAGATTACAGCCTAGGACTCAGTTGACGTAAGGGAGAGCTTGTTTGGTAAAAGTCATCTAGGTAATGAGTTAAAAGTAGACGTGCATATTTGATCCCTTTGTCTAAAAAGGAGACAATGTTATAATTAAATGCATTGGCAGCGTCTAAAGTACTTCTGCCTTGCTAATAAGCAGACTGTTTGGGATCATTAGGAAATTTTAGAGAGGGTAGAATGTTTCATAAGGGTAATCCACTCAAAACATTTATTTTCATGACTTTTATGGTGAATCTGAAGCATTCTTCTGAAACATCAGAAAAAGAAAATGACTATTTCAAACTCATCTGATGGCTGAATGTGGACAAAATTTTTTCTTACTTCGATATACGCTAATGCTGTAAGAAAGAAAACAGCTCGCGCATGACATGCATATTTCGATTAAAATCTACATAGATTTGTACAGTTCCAAACATCGAAAGACACAAATAAAGAGAAGATATTTGAAAAACTTATGAAAGAAATTTAATGCTGCACAAATCCATCGTCATTTTAAGTAAAAAAATACCACCAATCGTTCATATCGAGTCATAAAGCGTCCTCTACAATCGATTACTTTTTACCAAATGTGCGAATTTCTATTGAGAATGCAAAACACTGATGTGAGGATGGAAAAGAACCACTACGAAAGAGTAAAATGCTATAAAATCATTTTTACATTAGTGTGAAATCATCCAGGGTTTCATTTTCTTCTGTCAAATAGAAAGAAGGCGAAATGCTTGCCATACAGTTTCATTTTCATATACGGTGTAGTTTATATATATATATATATATATATATATATCATTATAAGGTTTTATTAGTGAAACATTTAGGCGTACTACAGGTAAAGAGAAAATTCGTCATATGCACACAAAAAATAATTATTTGTTCGTTCAGTTCCAAGAGGAATATGAAGCTGCACCAGCACACCTCCCTTGTAATTCACCTATACAGTTGATTGAAGTTGACTAGCCGACTGTCCAATCGATCTACATTTCCTTCTGGCTCGTAAATTGATAGACTTCTCTGCTTTGTGATCAGTCATCTAATCTCCAGTACCACGAGAAGTCAAGTGCAGATTGATTTCTGAAACAGTCTGTTGGAAATGCTTTCGTTGATGCCTGTAGTACCCCTATACCAACTGTAAACATGTTTTTAACCTAATTTGTATACTCGTATTATATGTGTATACAGACCGATTTTATATGTACTTCGCAAATATTTGTCAATTTACTGTTGAACATTACCTTGACACAATTTCGAATTTGACTACTTCTACGATACACATTCGTACTCTTCGTAAGTGCCTTTTGATTTACGTTGTGGGCGTCGAGTAGCCACAACGTCTGCACACATTAATAAGAACGAAGAAATACTAGAATATATGTGTACGGCAGTTTAGTCAGACAACACACGCGACAAAATTGGTGATCCCGACGTGATATTTCGACAGCGACGACAAATTGGTGTCGTTGACGATAACTGGTTCACCCTGACGACAAATTGTTGATCCCAACGGCAAATTTCTACCCCGTCGACAAATTGTCCATCGCGACAACAACTTTTTCACCTCGACGATAACTTTTTCACTGCGACGATAATTTGTTCACTCCAACGACATTTTGTTCACCCGGACGCATCATTACACTTGCTGGATTATTTAAACTCTAACTTTATCGGATATATATGCATATAATAGACATTTCGAGCTCATTCTTGTGCTTTCTCATCGCACAACTTGCAGTAATCTGTGGTAAGCATCTGCATTGCATGTTTTCTGTTTTGCCATATTCTTGGTGTGCATAATTTTTGCTATTTTGTTACTGTTAAACCATTTTTCTACGAATTGTATCATGTCTTCCAATACCTCTAATAACTTAGAGCTGGGATCTTTTAGTACCATTTCTCTTACTGTACCAGTTTTTAGGCCCAGAGACCCTCATCTTTGGTTTGCACGACTGGAAAATTATTTCACTGCCAATAAGCTCACGTCACAGACGGCTAAATTCGGCATATTGAGTACAGTACTACCAGACGAAATCGCCGAACAGGTTCGACAATGCATCGTTCAGCCCAGCACAGACTCTCCTTACGACAAGTTGAAGGATGAGGTACTTCGATGCACTTCACTTTCTGATAGACAAACACTCGATCGTTTGTTAAGCAATGTAGAGCTAGGTGATAAAACCCCATCACAACTCATGAGGCACATGGAAAGCCTAGCAGCAGGAAGAGATATCGACAAACGTCTCTTTTACCAAATCTGGCTGCGACGACTGCCTGCAAACATTCAGCAAGTTCTTGCTTTCGGAGACGACGAGATTGACATGGAAAAGCTCACCAAATTTGCGGATCGCATGTACGAGAGGTCAACACCTCAATCTGTTGCTTCCACTAGCAGAATACCAGACACTCACGACAGGATACAGACTCTAGAACACAAAGTCGACACCGTACTGAGTCAGTTAGCAGCACTGACCACAAACACACGACCAAGCCGTTCTAGAAGCTCGTCTCGTCGACGTCTTTCTTGGTCACCCAGCACGTCACGACATCACGATACTATTTGCTGGTACCACCGTAGTTACGGAGGCAATGCACGACGGTGTCGTTCACCTTGCAACTTTCAGTCTAAATCAAAAGATATATCATCATGTATGAAAACTTCTACTGTTGGCAATCTACGATCTAGCAGTCGTTTGTTTTATGTAACAGATAGAAATACCGGTACTACGTTCTTAGTCGACACAGGAGCAGAGGTTAGTGTTCTCCCTCCGTCTACGCAGGAACGTCAACATCCTGACCCTGCAGTTACGCTCCAAGCAGTTAATAAGTCTAATATTGTTACATATGGTAGTAAACGAATGACTTTAGATTTTGGTCTGCAGAATACCTACACTTGGTCTTTCATCATCGCAGACGTTCCATCCCCAATCCTTGGTATAGATTTTCTACAGCAACACAAACTGCTAGTTGATCCGGTAAGCCCTAAGCTTATAGACTCGCTCAATAAAAAGTACATCGCTGGTACGATTAGCCGTGCATCATCGCTGAACTTGATGGTCACACGCACACCAGCATCTCCATATACTGACTTAGTAAATCAGTTCCCTGACCTTCTACAACACTCTTTCCGAGCAACAGAACTAAAGCATCAAGTGGTTCATCACATTAAAACCACTGGACCACCAGTTTTTGCACGTCCTCGACGCCTTGACCCACATCGACTTAAAATCGCAAAAACAGAGCTTGGCATTATTCGACCATCCAACAGCTCTTGGTCTTCACCGCTGCACATGGTACCCAAAAAGTCTTCTGGTGAGATACGGCCATGCGGGGATTATCGAGCTTTAAACAAGCAAACGGTACCTGACCGATACCCCATACCGCATATTCACGATTTCGCCAGCAACTTGCCAGAGGTTAAAATTTTCTCCAAAATCGACCTTGTTCAAGCGTACCATCATATTCCCATCCACCCGGATGACGTTCCAAAAACTGCTATCACCACGCCATTCGGCTTATACGAATTCGTACGCATGCCTTTCGGGCTGATGAACGCCGCTCAGACATTTCAACGTCTCATCGACCAAGTACTCCGCGGCCTGCCCTTCGTCTACGCATACATTGACGACTTACTAATTGCAAGTGCAGACGAAACCGAGCATGTGAAACATGTGAAGACGGTGTTCGAAAGACTTCACAAATACGGCATGACTATCAATTTAGATAAATGCGAATTTGGTAAGAAATCACTGAAATTCCTCGGTCACTTGATTGACAGTCAAGGAATTAGACCAGTCCCCGACGATGTACAAGCCATCAAAGACTATCCATTACCAGATTCTTTCAAGAAATTACGGCGATTTTTGGGTCTAGTCAATTTTTACCGGCGTTTTATCCCGAACTGTGCTAGAGTTTTGCAACCGTTGACCGACTGCTTACGTGGACATAGTCGTTCATTCCATTTGCCTGCAGAAGCTGTTAAAGCATTCGAAGCTGTTAAACAATCGTTAAATGACAAGACGCTCTTAGTCAGACGCCAGAATGACGCCCCCTGTCTCTCATGACAGATGCTTCAGATGTCGCCATTGGGGCAGTGTTACAACAGCAGGTACATGGCGAATGGCAACCCCTTGCATTCTTTTCGAAACGACTGAATCCTACTCAATGTCGATATAGCACCTTTGGTAGAGAGTTATTAGCTGTTTATTTAGCAATCAAGCACTTTCGACATATGCTGGAAGGTACACCTTTTACTGTCTTTACAGACCACAAGGCTCTAACGAAAGCCTTATCAGCAAAACAGGATAACTACTCTCCACGTGAACTACGACATCTCGAGTTTATATCCCAGTTCACCTCCGATCTGCGACACATAAAGGGTAAAAACAATGAAGTGGCAGACGCTTTATCACGTATGCACATTGATAACATTGTATGCCCAGACATCGACTACGAACATCTCTCAAACTTACAACGAGATGACGCCGAACTCAAAAAGATCATGTCTTCTAAAACAACATCTTTAAACCTCGAGGCAATTCCTTTCGGCACGACAAAAGTTATCTGCGACACCTCTACAGGTAAATATCGACCTTTCGTTCCAATAGCTATGAGACATACAGTATTCGAGAAGTTACATAACTTGTCGCATCCTGGTGTTAGCGCTACTACCAAGCTACTAAGAGAAAGATTTATCTGGCCAAACATTAACAGCGACGTTAAGAAGTGGACACGAAATTGCTTGTCTTGTCAAAGAGTCAAAATCAACCGGCACACCAAAGCACCACTTGGTCGCTTCCCTAACCCCGACTCTAGATTTGACCATGTACATGTAGACATAGTTGGTCCACTGCCTCCTTCCAATGGTTTCAACTATATTCTAACCTGCATTGACAGATTTACTCGTTGGCCAATAGCAGTTCCATTAATCGACGTCTCAGCTGAAACGGTAGCTAAAGCTTTAGTCGAAAACTGGATAGCCAACTTTGGTGTCCCATCAATTATCACTACAGACAGAGGTGCCCAGTTTGAAAGCCGACTTTTTGACCAACTAACTGAATTACTAGGCATTAAACGAATACGAACAACAGCGTATCATCCTAGTTCCAACGGTATGGTCGAACGATTTCATCGACAACTCAAAGCTGCGCTCGCTGCTTCTTTGACTCAAAACGATTGGTCAACCAAACTTCCACTAGTATTACTTGGTATACGAGCTACTATAAAGAAAGATATTGGCTGCTGTGTTTCCGAACTAGTCTATGGAACAACATTACGATTACCAGGAGAATTTTTCACCCCGGGTAACCAAGTTCCACACGATATGACTGGTTACGTGCACCAGCTAAAACGACACATGAACGAGCTAAAGATATCACTTCCACGTCAGCAGGAACGAGCGTCATACATCCCGTCACAACTGACAGACTGCACCCACGTCTTCGTCAGGAGAGAAGGTGTACAACGACCACTTCAACCCGCTTATGATGGCCCATTCAAAGTTCTAAACAGAAACGCGAAAGTTATCACGATAGAAAGATTGAATAAAACAGAAGCCATCAGTATCGACAGAGTCAAACCAGCGTTCCTCGACGATTTCGAAGTCAACGATAAGAACCAGCTGAACGACGTGCCAACACCTACATCCACACAAGCTTCAACGTCGACAGAGAAGCCTGCGAAAACAACACGATCTGGTAGACGAGTCCATTGGCCTAAACGTTACGTGCAAGTCATCGAAATATAACTTACTATGAATTTTCATTTTTATTATCTTTATTCGTAATTGTCATTTGATTACTCATTTAACTGATTAATATTTTCATACATAAATCACGTCACTATTATTTTAACATCGATATTTCCTATATTATTACACTTAATCACATCTCGCTTATAATGCACTTATCGTTCTCGTCTACAGACTACAGATCCTCGGCCAATTTTATCGTTCCTTTCTATTACGATTAGCACTCGATGTTATTAACCGCTTTAAACTGCTCATTTTTCAGCTTAATAAATCGCCTTCTGTGTACTATCGCTGCTACGTATTACGCTGACGCATGTTATTTTCGAACACTTAAATGTATTATTTTATATTTTAGTGTTCTGGTGGGAGAATTATGTAGTACCCCTATACCAACTGTAAACATGTTTTTAACCTAATTTGTATACTCGTATTATATGTGTATACAGACCGATTTTATATGTACTTCGCAAATATTTGTCAATTTACTGTTGAACATTACCTTGACACAATTTCGAATTTGACTACTTCTACGATACACATTCGTACTCTTCGTAAGTGCCTTTTGATTTACGTTGTGGGCGTCGAGTAGCCACAACGTCTGCACACATTAATAAGAACGAAGAAATACTAGAATATATGTGTCAATGGAGTTGAAGATTGAACGATCAATTCTTGGTTGTTTGCTTAAAATCAACTTCCCCAATTTTCGCGGAGGCATCAATACGACAGTCATCGTCTCATCGGTCGCTGTTCAGAAAGAAGTCAGTAGCAAACCATCAGAAGTAATCTTATGATTTATTATTGTAATATTTGTTCACAGACCTTAGTTCAGTTATTATTTTTATATGTTGGTGTAACAATAAAGAATTCCCAAGCGGCCAATCGGTGTTTTGGTTTTTTCGTCCGTTATTACTAAGCGTTTCTGAAACTTCAAGGAGAAGCGTGGGCCCGAGCGTAGCAAGAGCTGGGCATTAACGGTTTATGAGACGTGGCTGACAGTTTCTGATGGTAGAAACAGATTTGGCGGATTCAGACAGTTGGTGAAAGTTTGGATAGTCACCGTTCATCTTTCCTGGTGCCGGTCAAGTCCTCTTTGAACAAGCAATATCTGGAACTTTTTGGAATTGGGTCAAGTTCAACAATGTCTGGGTCAAAGAAGGGACAGAGTGTCTTGGATGCAAACAGGAAAGTAAGTCATGGTGACTTGTCTGTTGATTGTAACGATGTGTCTGATGTTAAGCATGACATGGTTGATGTTACTGTTTCGCCGTTCACGGATAATAGGAACATCAAACTACCTAAGTTTGAACCACGGTGTTTCGATGGAAACCCGGCTGATTATTTACAATTTGTAAAGGATTTTGAGATCATGTTGAGTGGTTTTTTATTAACTGATGAAATGAAGTTAATGTATTTAATGAGGTATTGCACTGGAGATGCTGCAAGAGCTATACAGTGCTGTAAGTTTATGAAGCCAAAAGAGGGCTACGATGAGGCTATGAGCATATTACATCAAAGGTTTAGAAGACCTTCGATGATTGCAGGGAAATTATTCGAGGCTGTTAAGGGTAATGGTGGTCAATTACAGGATGACTCCCAGGCACTCACTGAGTTTTTAGATAATTTGCTAATTTACAAGAATGCAATGATTTCGATGAATCGCACGAGTGACCTCAACTCGAGTTTTATACTAGAAGTAATAGCAAGACGTCTACCTACTCGACTGCAAAGGAAGTGGGTGGAGATAAGCTCCCGTATGTGGGATGAGGGTATCGAGCCAAAGTTTGATGATATCCTGAAACTGGTAAATACTAGTGTCAATCAATCGATGGGCAAGTTTGCCAGTATATTGCATCTCACCCCTAGAATAGAGCAGTCTGAGGGTAAAACGCAATCATTGATGACGAGTAGGCCTCAGAGAGGTGGATATCGAGAAGGCTCCATGATGTATAGTAATGCATATAGACCTAATGAGTGTAACAGGTTTCGTAGTACATCCTCAACAGATAAGTTGCAAGCTGCAAGACAAACACGGTTGTGCTTTACACGTTTGCAAGAAGTGCATACAGAAGTGAACTGTGAACCAGTGAGCAAGTTCAGTGATAAGCTAAATGTAAACTCCAGGTCTGACTCCGAATTGTGTGACGATAACGGTGCGGTGAAGAAGTCTGTAGTTGCAACTGGTAAGCCATTGTTGAATAGAGTGTCACAGAATAGAGTTACTGCTTCAGAGTGCAGTTCTGACTCCAAAAGTTTACAAAGTATAACTAGTCAGAGTGAAGATATAAAACCTTTAATGATTTGTAAGGAGGAACCAAAATTGTCTACTTCTGTTATTAAAGAGTTTGAAAATGATGAACTTGACGATAAATTGAATATTTGTGATAATGATCATGATAGTGCAGATTTGTCTTTGGTTGATCATGATGAGATGAGGGATATGCCTACTACTGCTAAGTTAAATAAAGGTTCTGTACAACTACAACGTGAAGTAGAATTGAACGCAGATGCAGTTCCAGAAGATGTGCATACTTGTGAGACAGTCAGTGTAATTGATCAGCGTGTAGCCCACCTATCATCAGATGCTAGTGCTAAACCTGAACTAGTAGTGAAAGACAGCAGTGGTGGTGGTCTTGCAGGTATACAAACTTCTGAAAGCCGAGCAACAACAGCTTTTGATCCACCGCTAACTTCATCAACTGATATCAATCAGTCGTCGTTGGTGCTGTCATCCACAATGAAAAAGACGCCCATCAACTCAAGTATCTTGTGCAATGACTATGCTAGTATCAGTTCCTTTGAAAGGACGAATATCAATGGTCAGTTTAGTGAGGATAGGCCAAGTGTAAACGAGAGATTAATTGTTAAATTGACTTGCACGAATAAAGGCATTTCTAGTTTCAAGTTACTATTTGAAAGTTATTATATTTGGTGTGAATTACTCTGTTTTTACACTTGGTTGATGAGATATGTCGTGTGTTTGTTGGTCATCTATATTCTACGATACAATGACATGGGCGTGTTGCCGTTCAGATTTGAGGATATAGCTCATAGAAGGAAGTTAGCAAATGAACTCTGCGACGATTTTCCAACCTAGAGCGTCAACCTGAGAAGGGTTGTAGGCGTACTGCTGTAAGTCCTACAATTCTTCAAAGGGTAGCGCATCAATGAGCAGTCCAATGTGCTTGGTGTGTGATTTTGTACATATGTTCATATTGTATATACTGAATTGATATCATCTGTCATCTAGCTGTTGTTAATTCTGTTTGTGTCCGGACGACTTCCACTTGGATCATCAACCTCAGAAGGAATGAAGGCGTACTGCTGTAAGTCCAGCGATTC